GTCTCGATCTCCTGACCTTGTGATCCGCCTGCCTTGGCCTCCCGAAGTGCTGGGATTACAGGCGTGAGCCACCGCGCCCGGCCTAATTTTTGTATCTTTAGTAGAGATGGGGTTTTGTCATGTTGGCCAGGCTGGTCTCGAACTCCTGACCTCAGGTGATCCACCCGCTTCAGCCTCCCAAAGTGCTGGGATTAAAAGCTTGAGCCACAGCGCCCGGCTTCACATAACTTTGATCACAGTATATTGTTATAATCATTCTATTTTATTAGTTATTGTTAATCTCTTAGAAGGAATACTTCATACACATTTGCCAGTTTATAAATTAAACTTTATCATAGGTATGTATATACAGGAAAGAACATAGTGTACACAGGGTTCAGTATTATCCATGGTTTCAGAGGGTCTTGGAGTGAATCCCGTGGATAAGAGAGGCTATTGTGGCTCTTGGAGATATTCCACGTGGTCAACATAGATCTCTTTGTGATGGCTGCAGGGTTTGACGCTGCTTGAACGCGTTTATGCCCTAATGAACACTAGGCTGTTTCTTGTGTTTTTGCTATACTCAATAATGTCACAGTGGAAATTCTATTTTTTCCCCCCAACTTTTACTTTAAGTTCCAGGGTATATGTGTAGGATGTGCAGGTTTGTTACACAGGTAAATGTGTGTCATGATGGCTTGCTGCACACACACAGTAGAAATTGTTTTTTTTTTTTTCTCTTTGAGATGGAGTCTGGCTCTGTCACCCAGGCTGGAGTACAGGAGCACAATCTCAGCTCACTGCAACCTCCGCCTCCTGGATTCAAGTGATTCTCCTGCCACAGCCTCCCAAGTATCTAGGATTACAGGCATGCACCACCACACCTGGCTAATTTTTGTATTTTTAGTAGAGACAGGCTTTTGCCATGTTGGCCAGGCTGGTCTTGAACTCCTGACCTCAGGTGATTTGCCCACCTTGGCCTCCGAAAGTGCTGGGATTACAGGCGTGAGCCACCGTGCCCGGCCCACAGTGGAAATTCTTAAATGCTATTCAGTGTGAGAGAAAGAGGCGGTGTGGTGGGGTGGGTGGTGGATGGATGTAGCTGGCTTCTTGGGACATGCACACCACTCTTGGGGTGCAGCAGAAGCTTGTCCTACATGTGGGTAGCATTGTCCCATCAAGGTCAAGGTATTGGTCCCAACGCTGAGACCCTGGGGCATTCAGGGACAGACCCAAATGTCAGGGAGACGGAGGACAGGGCAGACAGGAGACTGAAGCAGAGGGCGGAGGGTAGCTGGCTTGGGGAAGCCCTTACCCAGGGGTCTGCAAACTTTTCCTGAAAAGGGCCAGATAGGAAATGCCTCAGGCAGTACGGGCCAGGAGGTCACTGTCACCACCACTCCGCTCTGCCCTGTAGCTGGAAAGCTGCCCTAGTCAATACGTAAATGAACGAACAGGGCCGTATCCCAATACAACTTTATTTATCAACATGGAAATTTAAGTTTTATGTAATTTCTACATGTTATGAAATAATATTCTTTTGTGCTTCTTTATGAACCATCTAAAAACGTGATGCCATTCTGGCTGGGTGCGGTGGCAGGCGCCTGTAGTCCCAGCTGTTTGGGAGGCTGAGGCAGGAGAATTGCTTGAACCTGGGAGGTGGCGGTTGCAGTGAGCCGAGATCACACCACTGCACTCCAGCCTGGGTGACAGAGTGAGACTCCATCTCCAGAAAAAAAAAAGTGATGCCATTCTTAGCTGGTGGGTCCTACAAAAATGCTAGAGGTAAGTCATCTTTGTCACATTCTGTCAGCAGATAGAGGGGCCAGATGAGGCTTACAGGCGGCTCCCGGCATCTCTGAGCATTGACTCGTGGACGTTCCCTGGAGCCTCCCTGAAGCTCCATCCGGGCTGGGAAGAGGGAGGACCTGGAGATTTTCACGAGTATCCCAGCAGTGAGAATGGACTCTTGCCGGGCAGGCAGACACAGCAAGGCTCTCCTGGGTGCTGGGGAAAATTGAAGCCGACAGCTTCAGCTCTGAAAGCTCTTTGGAGAGGCTTCCCAAGGTGGGGTGCACTTGGACCAGGCTCCAGGTGTCGTCAGAACTACTGGAAGATCGTTTTCAAGATAATCTGGAACAGGAAGAGAAGGCACAAAAGCCCCAGAATCGGAGAAGCTCTTGGCAGGAATTTGATTAAGGAAACGAGACAGGGCTGGATGCAGTGAGTCATGTCTGCAACCCCAACACTTTGGAAGGCTGAGGCAGGAAGACACTTGAAGTCAGGAGTTCAAGACAGCCTGGTTAGAGGTATAATATGCTGAGATTAAAAAAGAAGACGACCAGTCTGGGGAGCAGAGAGAGACCCCATCTCTACAGAAACATTTAATAATTAGCAGGGCACAGTGGCACACCTCTGCAGTCCCAGCTACTCAGGAGGCTGAGGCAGGATCACCACTTGAGCCCAGGAGGTGGCAGAGAACTAAGATTCTGCCACTGTACTCCAGCCTGGGTGCAACTGAGGAGACCTGTCTCTAAAGGAAAAAAAGAAAGAAACGAGATGTTCTTAGGTTCTTTCTTTCCTAGGTTCTCAGGTGTTTTGTTTTGTTTTGTTTTGTTTGAGATAGTCTTGCTCCATTGCCCAGGCTGGAGTGCAATCTTGGCTCACTGCAATCTCTGCCTCCTGGGTTCAAGCAATTCTCATGCCTCAGCCTCCTGAGTGGCTGGGATTACAGGCACGCACCATCACATCTGGCTAATTTTTTTTGTAGTTTTAGTAGAGACGGAGTTTCTCCATGCTGGCCAGGCTGGTCTCGAACTCCTGGTTTGCGCATCTAAGAGGCTGCGGCGGGATCTGTGCTGTCTACCACGAAAGGGCTGCCAGGGATGAGGCCCCACCTGGGTGAGCACGTTGTCCTTCTGGGTCAGATTCTCAACGATTTCAAAGTGGTCCACACCGTGGAGCTGTTCGAACGAGGCTTTCCACTCTCCTTGACACAGGGTCTGGGCAGGGGAGACATGGGAGGAGGGGCCTGAGCAGTGGGAAAGGAGGTGGGGCAGGACATGGGGCCATGCCTGGCACAGGTCAGGGTTCACTGTGTTAAATAAATGACGGATGAGGCAAATAATGAGCTCACATGACCCTCGACCTCTGGCCACAAACCTGTGCTGAGAGTACCTGGTAAAACTCCCAGGACTGTCGGTGAAATTCGGGGGAGTCGAACTGGCCCACGACCACCAGCACACGGCAGGTGGGGTCCACCGGCTGCGCCTGGGCCACCTTCAGCTGGGGGCTGTTCCTCTGAGCGTCCTCCCTGGGGCGGGGAGTGGATGGGTCAGGACGGAGAGAAGCCGGGCTCCAGGTGAGCCAGGGGAGGTGGTAGGCAGGTGACTCACAGGGTCAGCTGCAGAGCAATGTTCTGTGAAGTATACATGATGGGCTCCAGGTCAAAGACCCCACTCACGAGGAAAAAGCCTGTGAGGGTGCAGAATCGTCACAGGACCAGGCTCCAGGCGGAGCAAGGCAGGGCCAGCCCACCCCCATGGCCAGAGGGGCAGGACCAGGGGAGGGGGCACGGAGGAAGCAGAGAAGGCCTTGCTCAGAGGGCTGGAAGCCCTGCAGTCAAGCCACTCACAGCTGGGAGGATTTCAATCAGTTGGCCCAAACCGCAAGGCTCATGGGGAGATGAAGGTTGCCCAGCCAGGCTGCAGCCCCCATGGAAACCTTTGAGGTTGGGCGTGACCCCATGCTTGGTCCAGTTGGCAAGGAGCATCATGGCGGCCAGGTGGGCCCCGGCTGAGTGTCCACATAGGTAAATTCCCCTGGGAGGGGTCAGAGCAGAGAACTGGATTTGCACACAGTTTCCCCACAACATCAGGCCCACTTCAAAGAGTCCCAATTTGCTTTCTGCTCCACAGGCCAGAGGGGAAGCTTGGCTGTCTCCGAGGGACTGATTGCACTGTCCTCCCACCCAGTGAGGTCCAACAGGAAGAAAATCTACCAGCAACACCCACCCATTGCTTGGATACCGCGTCTGGACAAACGCAACGCTGCGGGTCACCTGGTCTACCATCTGGTCCAGGGTGCCTGCACAGAGAGTATGAGCTGGGTCAGGAACTCGCTTCCTCCTAAAGCCCACACCGGCCCTCGGACCTGCAGCAACCACCCCTATTACCTTTGGGGGCGATGTCATAAGCCACTATTACCACGGCCACTCCCTGTGCCGTCAGCGGGTCGACCATGAAGGCAGACTCGTCCTTACTGCAGAGAGACACAGATGTGACAGCTGGAGGCAGCCTGGCCACTTCGCTGCTTCCCGTGTCCTGGACACACCACTTTCCAGATGTTCTGTCCATGCACAGCACCACCCCTTTCTGGCCCCGTTTGAGAGAGGGAAGCGGACAGGATCGCTCCCTGCCACATCACATACTAGCTATGGGACCATGGGGGAGCTTCATGTAACTGTATTTTTCTTTTTTTTTTTTGAGACGGAGTCTCGCTGTGTCGCCCAGGCTAGAGTGCAGTGGCGCAATCTCGGCTCACTGCAAGCTCCGCCTCCCGGGTTCACGTCATTCTCCTGCCTCAGCCTCCGGAGTAGCTGGGACTACAGGCGCCCGCCACCACGCCAGGCTAATTTTGTTTTTGTATTTTTAGTAGAGATGGGGTTTCATCGGGTTAGCCAAGATGGTCTCGATCTCCTGACCTTGTGATCCGCCCACCTCGGCCTCCCAAAGTGCTGGGATTACAGGCGTGAGCCACCGCGCCCGGCCGTAACTTTATTTTTCTAAGCGATAGGGCCTCGCTCTGTCGCCCAGGCTGGAGTGCAATGGCGTCATCACGGTTCACTGCAGCCTCGACCTCCTGGGCTCAAGCAATCCTCCTGCCTCAGTCTCCCAAGCAGGAGTACAGGTGTGCACCACTATGCACAGCAAATTTATTTTTTCTTTTGTAGAGATGGGGGTCTTGCTATGTTGACCAGGCTGGTTTCTAACTCAATCCTCCCGCCTTGGCCTCCCAATGTGTGGGATTATAGGTGTGAGCCACCGTGCCTGGCAATTTATGTAACTTCTAAGCCTGGTTTCCTCATCTGTATAAAATAGAGGCAATTATATTCCCTCTGTTAGGGAACTGTTTTTGAGAATTAAAGACCAGCAGTGTAGAGAGTTTTGTGTGGAATAAATGTAAGCTTTTTTTTTTTTGAGACAGAATCTCGTTGTGTCACCCAGGCTGGAGTGCAGTGGCATGATCCTGGCTCACTGCAACCCCTCCTCCTGGGTTCAAGCGATTCTCCTGCGTTAGCCTCCCGAGTAGCTGGGATTACAGGCACACGCCACCACGTCCAACTAATTTTTGTATTTTTAGTAGACACAGGGTTTCACCACGTTGGCCAGGCTGGTCTCAAACTCTTGACCTCAAGTGATCCGTCCGCCTTGCCCTTCCAAAGTGTTGGGATTACAGGCGTGAGCCCCCGTGCCTGGCCATTAAATGTAAGCTATTAACATGAAGATGCTTGAAGGCAACGCTGTAGGAAGACCGTAGGGAACACAGTGTCTGTCAAGATCCCAAATTCCCAAATACCCACAAAAAGCTTACAGTGACCAACTGTCCCATTTTACCTTGGACTTTCATTATTTTTTTTCTAAAGTACTGAAAACCCCATGTCCTAGGAAACCCCTCCTCAGTCCCAAGCAAACGGGGACAGTGGTTGGTCGCTCTGGCTTTTCCTTTGATTCAAGAGGAGGCTGAACATGCTTCTCACTGGTTGCAGTGGGTTAAACTGTGTCCCCCCAAAAGATATGTCCAAATCCTAACCCCAGAACCTGTGACTATGACCTTATTAAAAAAAAAAAAAAAAAAAGGAGGCCGGGCACGGTGACTCACACCTGTAATCCCAGCACTTTGGGAGGCCGAGGCGGGCGGATCACAACGTCAGATCGAAACCATTCTAATACGGTGAAAACCCATCTCTACTAAAAACACAAAAAAATTAGCCGGGCGTGGTGGCGGGTGCCTGCAGTCCCAGCTACTCTGGAGGCTGAGGCAGGAAAATGGGGTGAACCCGGGAGGCGGAGCTTGCAGTGAGCCGAGATCGCGCCACTGCACTCCAGCCTGCGGGACAGAGCGAGACTCCGTCTCAAAAAAAAAAAAAAAAAAAAACAAAACCAGGAGGCTGGTGTGGTGGCTCACGCCTGTAATCCCAGAACTTTGAGAGGTCAAGGCGGGAGGATCACTTGAGGTCAGGAGTTCAAGACCAGCCTGGCCAACATGGTGAAACCCTGTCTCTACTAAAAATACAAAAATTAGCTGGGCCTGGTGGTGCGCACCTGTAATCCCAGCTACTTGGGAAGCTGAAGCAGAAGAATTGCTTGAGCCTGGGAGGCAGAAATTGCAGTGAGCTGAGGTCGCACCACTGCGTTCCAGTCTGGGGTAGAGTGAGACTCTGTCTCAAAAAAAAGAAAAAAAAAAGGAGAGGAAGATAGGAGACCCAGGAACACAAGGATCACATGTGAATGGAGGCAGAGGCTGGAGCTCTGTGGACACAAGCCAAGGACTGCCTGAGGCCACAGGAAGCTGGAGGAGGCAGGAAGGATCCTCCCTAGGAACCCGGCCCACATTTGACTTGAGACTTCCGCTCTCCAGTGCTGTGAGACACGGGCCTGTGGGAATCACCCAGCTGTGGCCTTTTGGTTGGGGCAGCCCTGGAGGAAGAGTCCCCCAGGGAACGTGGAATCTCTCCTGCAGTCCACCATCCACATCCCCCAACTCACCTTCCACTCTGCCAGTATCCTCCGTGAAAGAACAGGAAGAAAGGCAAAGCTGCAAAACAAAAAACCAAGCACAAGGTGCATGAGTGGGGCCCGCCCTGCTGAGCTCTGCCACTGGACCCCCAAGTCCCAGGACCCCCAGCCCCTTCGCTGACAACCTTCAGCTGCCTCGTCAGGGAAGTAAATGTCCACTTTCTCCCCTTCGCCGTCTCCATAGGGGACATGCAGCAGGCTCTTCCTGGTGGCCCGGGCCCTCCTGGTGGCTGTCTCAGAAATGGACAAGTTGCTGTTAGCACAAGCTCAGGTGGTGGCAATTTCTTTTCTTCTTTTTTTTTTGGGGATGAAATCTCACTCTGTTGCCCAAGCTGGAGTGCAGTGACGCGATCTCGGCTCACTGCAACCTCCCCCTCCCCAGTTCAAGCGATTCTCCTGCCTCAGCCTCCCAAGTAGCTGGGACTACAGGCGCACGCCACTATGCCCAGCTAACTTTTTTGTTTTTGTTTTTGTTTCAAATAGAGACAGGGTTTCACCATGTTGGCCAGACTGGTCTTGAACTCCTGACCTGGTGATCTGCCCATCTTGGCCTCCCAAAGTGCTGGGATTACAGTCGTGAGCCACTGCGCCCAGCCAGGTGGCGGCAATTTCTATTTCAGCTCGGGTAGAAGCCTTCCGGCTGAAAGCTCCCTTAAGTTGACATGTTGAGCTTCAGCTCTGAGCACCTCCCATTGAAAGAGGACTGCCAGGCCGGGCGTGGTGGCTCAAGCCTGTAATCCCAGCACTTTGGGAGGCCGAGGCGGGCGGATCACAAGGTCAGGAGATCGAGACCATCCTGGCTAACACGGTGAAACCGTCTCTACTAAAAAAATACAAAAAACTAGCCGGGCGAGGTGGCGGGCCCCTGTAGTCCCAGCTACTCGGGAGGCTGAGGCAGGAGAATGGCTGAACCCAGGAGGCGGAGCTTGCAGTGAGCTGAGATTCAGCCACTGCACTCCAGCCTGGGCGACAGAGCGAGACTCCGTCTCACAAAAAAAAAAAAAGGGACTGCCAGGTGGGGCGCGGTGGCTCACGCCTGTAATCTCAGCACTTTGGGAGGCCGAGGTGGGCGGATCACAAGGTCAGGAGATCGAGACCATCCTGACTAACATGGTGAAACCCCGTCTCTACTAAAAATACAAAAAATTAGCTGGGTGGCGGGCGCCTGTAGTCCCAGCTGCTTGGGAGGCTGAGGCAGGAGAATGGCGTGAACCCGGTAGGCAGAGTTTGCAGTGAGCTGAGATCGGGCCACTGTACTCCAGCCTGCAGGACAGAGCAAGACTCTGTCTCAAAAAAAAAAAAAAGAAAAAAAGAGAGAGTGAGGACTGCCAGTCCAGACATCTGTCAACAAATGAACTGTGGTTCTGCCAGGACGCTTTTCAGCATGACTTTACTACATACTTATCACATGCGCTATACTTTTTTGTTTTAAAGGGCAGGGGCTCACTATGTTGCCCAGGCTGGAGTGCAGTGGCTATTCACAGGTGCGATCACAGCATACTACAGCCTCTAATTCCCAGCCCCAAGCAATCCTCCTGCCTCAGCCTCCTGAGTAGCTGGGATTACGGGCACATGCCACCATACCTGGCTAATTTTCCTATTTTTAGTAGAGACAGGGTGTCATTGTATTGGCGAGGCTGGTCTCCAGCTCAACCTCAGGTGATCTACCCACCTCGGCCTCCCAAAGTGCTGGGATTACAGGCGTGAGCCACTGCGCCTGGCCTCTTGCTTTATTTTTTATCCTAGCATTCATCGTTGTTTTGTTTTTGTTTTTTGCAATGGAGTCTTGCTCTGTCACCCAGGCTGGAGTGCAGTGGTGCCATCTTAGCTCACTGCAACTTCTGCCTCCTGGGTTCCAGCAATTCTCGTGCCTTAGACTGTATTTTCTAAAAATTAAAAAAAAAAATTAGCTGGATGTGGTGGTGGGAACCTGTAATTTCGGCTACTTCGGGAGGCTGAAGTGGGAGGATTGCTTGAACCTGGGAGGCAGAGGCTGCAGTGAGCTGAGACTGTGCCACTGCACTCCAGCCTGAGTGACAGAGCGAGATTCTGAAAAAAGGAAGGAAGGAAGAAAAAGGGCATCCAGACCAGTGGGAATGACCAGTCAGTAAACCCTGCCTCCCCTCCCACCGCAGCGACGCACTCCTAGTATTCACAGCTAGAACACAGCGCCCTTGGGAGAAGGAACCCGGTCTAGTCATCTTTCCAAGAACTCCCTGCTTTGCTGAAAATAGATGTTGCATTTGTTTACCAGGGCAGCTGTAACAAAGTACTACAAATTGAGTGTCTCAGAGCAGTAGAACGTTCTCCCACAGTTGTAGAGGCCAGAAGTCTGAAATTAAAGTGTGGACGCTGCCACACTCCACCAATGCCTCTTTTGCCTCCGGCAGCTCCTGGTGGCTCCAGGTGTTCCAAGGCCTGTGGCTACGTCACTCCAGTCACCTCTGCCTCTTCCAGTCTCTGCCACTGTCTTCACGTGGTCCCCTCTCTGTGTGTCCCTCCCTCTTCTGTCTCTTAGCAGGACACCAGTCGTGGGATTTAGAGCCTACCCTAACCCAGAATGACTCGACTTTAGCTAATAACACCTACAAAGATGGTCTTTCCAAATAAGGAAATACCAGCCGGGCACCTGTAATCCCAGCACTTTGGGAGGCTGAGGCGGGCAGATCACTTGAGGTCAGGAGTTGAGACCATCCTGGCCAACATGGTAAAACCCTGTCTCTACTGAAAATACAAAAATTATCTGGGCATGGTGGTGCGTGCCTGTAGTTCCAGCTACTTGGGAGGCTGAGGCAGGAGAATCGCTTGAACCTGGAGGCAGCAGTTGCAGTGAGCTGAGATCACACCACTGCACTCCAGCCTGGGCAACACAGCAAAACTCTGTCTCAAGCAAAACAAAACAAAACAAAAAACACCAAATAAGGAAATAGCTTGACAGGTTCCCAGGGTTAGGATTTGGACATGTCTTTTTAAAATTTATTTTTATTTATTTATTTTTTAATGTCATGGTGGGGGTCACCTTTATTTGGCACTGCAGATGCTAAGTGTTTTACGTAACACAATTTTCAGAATTCCAGCTAGTCAGGGGGACTCTGGGGGCCAGCCTGCAGGCCCATGCCCCACCTCTCCCATCCTGCCATCCCAAGGATCCAGACACCCCCTTCTCACAGCTGTGCTCAGGCACCATCAGCGGCTCCTTGGAGTGCTGGGTTGATCTCCCCAAAAGAGGTGGAATCCAGTTCCCTGTAAAACCGGCATCTCAGAAAGGGCTCTATGTGTTAACCTGCAACTTGGGGTCCCTGTCCCTGAAGGCCCCCTGGTCCCCAACTTTGGTGGCCACAGTGGGCCTAGAAAAAGAAAAACCTGGCCGGGCGTGGTAGGTCACACCTGTAATCCCAGCACTTTGGGAGGTCAAGGTGGGTGGATCACAGGTCAGGCGTTCGAGACCACCCTGGCCAATATGGTGACACCCCATCTCTACTAAAAATACAAAAATTAGCCGGGCCCCTGTACTCTCAGCTACTCAGGAGGCTGAGGCAGGAGAATCGCTTGAACCAGAAAGTGGAGGTTGCAGTGAGCCGAGATTGCACCGTTGCACTCCAGCCTGGGCAACAGAGCAAGACTGTCTCAAAAAAAAAAAAAAAAAACACAAAAAACCCCTGTGTTTCCCTCGGGTGGGTGATTCATTCTGCAACTCTAGAAGGGTAAACACAGCAGAGGAAGAAAAAGCATGGGGCCGAGAGCTTGTACGAACTGCATCTATGCCAGAATGCAGAACCGTAAACTGGGCTATCTCCACCTGGGCTGGAGAGATTAAAGCTGAGGAATATCAAAAGGAAGTTGCCCATGTGCCAATCCAGGCAGGAAGCTGCCTTTGCAGAACACCAGTGAGGCTGCAAAACCTGTTTTGCCAGCACCCATATTACCAACCACTTTACCAACCCTGAATGGCTCCCTATGTACTGACAAGAAGCTATCTATGTACAGACAAGGAAACATCTCCAAGAAATACTAAGTGAAACTGGCAGGGTGGAACTGTGTGTACTACGGGGCCATTGGGATGAAAGAGGGGGGAATCTATATCCATATGAATAACAGTGGCCCCCTTGATGGGGGCCAGGGGAACTGGGAGGATGCAAAGGAAGAGGAGCGAGCATTTCACTGAAAAGCCTTGTGTGGTTTTTGTTTTTGTTTTTTTGAGACAGTCTCGCTCTGTCGCCCAAGCTGGAGTCCACTGGCGCAATCTTGGCTCACTGCAACCTCCGCCTCTGGGGTTCAAGTGATTCTCCTGTCTCCGTCTTCCAAGCAGCTGGGATTACAGGTGTGGGCCACCTGTAATCCCAGTCTTATTATTATTATTAGTTTTTTGAGGCAGAGCTTTGCTCTTGTCACAGGCTAGAGTGCAACGGCGCAATCTCCGCTCACTGCAACCTCTGCTTCCTGGGTTCAAGTGATTCTCCTGCCACAGCATCCCAAGTAGCTGGGATTACAGGCACCTGCCACCATGCACAGCTTATTTATTTATTTATTTTTGTATTTTTAGTAGAGACGGGGTTTCACCATGTTGGCCAGGTTGGTCTCGAACTCCTGACCTTGAATGATATCCCTGCCTTGGCCTCCCAAAGTGCCGGGATTATAAGTGTGAGCCAGTGCACCTGGTCTGAGCTAATTTTTGTATTTCTAGGAGAGACGGGGTTTCACAGTGTTGGCCAGTCTGGTTTCGAACTCCTGAATTCACTTTTTATTTTTGAGACACAGTTTCACTCTGTCACACAGGCTGGAGTGTAGTGGTGCAATCTCGGCTCACTGCAGCCTTAACCTCCTAGGTTCAGATAAGCTTCCCACCTCAGCCACCAGAGTAGCTAAAAATACAGGCGTGTGCCACCACGCCTGGCTAATTTTTGTATTTTTTGTAGAGACAGGGTTTCGCCATGTTGCCCAGGCTATTCTTGAACTCCAGGGCTCAAGGGATCCTCCCACCTTAGCCTCCCAAGTAGATGAGACGACAGGCAAGCACCACCACACCCAGTTAATTTTTATTTTTTTTTTGTAGAGACCAGGTCTTGCTATGTTGCCCAGCTGGTTTCGAACTCCTGGGCTCAAGCTGTCCTCCTGCTTTCGTTTCCCAAAGTCTGGGATTACAGGCATGTGCCACCAGACTTGGCCCCCTCTCTTTCTCAAACCACATCTGATCATCAGGAAATCCTTGGACACCCCCTCCACTGTGTGT